GGTGGAAGGCAGCTCCCTCACCTGAAAAGGCAGAGGGTCTGCTGAGCTGTTCACACTTACTCTGTCTGCAGATGGCAGAGCTAAAAGAACACTGTAACACTCCCTCTGAGGCTTCAGGGGTTGCAGGCACCCCACCAGACACTGCCCTGGGGCACGCAAGGAGTTTGCTCCTGCTGGTGCCCAAAAGTGCTCACCCTGGCTCCTGCACCTGCTCACCTGGGTGCTCCCTCCCATAAGGGGTAGAGCACAGTGGGTCCAAATGAGTGGAGTTCACTCCTGCTGGTGATGAAGTGGCCAGCTGATTCCAGGGCTTGTATACTCCACTTTCTGCCGCATTTGCTCATGAGCACCCTCCCACGAGGAGTTGAGAGCTGTGGGCCGAGTAAACAGTAAACACCTGTTGCAAGTCCTGCAAAAGGGGTCAGGGAAATATCCTGCTTCAATAAAACTGTTTTAAAATTGATTTGCATCCCTTTTATTCCTATAGAGATGATCTCTGACATTAGAATCATAAGGTCTTTGTTTAAGGATCACTTAAGATTTTTTCAGACCCAAATTTCAGCAACCAGTTTGGAGGCCCCCACAGAAGAACTGGATCACCAAGAAAACACAGCTGCTTCGCCTCCCTGTCCCATGACTTCACCCTGCACTCTTCAACCAGTCAACACTCTCCATACTTAGGCCCACTCCAAAGCCCTAAAGACTGTAGCCCCAAACTCCTCAGACAGATAGATTTGAAGTTCCCTCACATTTTCTCCTTTGGTGACCCTATGGGTAAATCCTTTATCTGCTACAACTCAGTGTCTCCGGCATTGGTCACAGAGTGCCTTCTCACACACAAGAGCAAAACTGAGTGTGAGCTACGTTTTATTCCACAAGCACCACTGGCATCAGCAGATCCAGCTACAGATTTAGTGCCTATAATCAATGTCACAGACCATCAGTTTGCTTTGTTGAGAAGATTCTATCCTAATAAACACACTGTTAAGACTAACATTCCCAATCCACAGGACCTAGAGTAAAAGAAAATTCAGGCTACTATAGAGAATAGGCAAATGAAAGATGAAAAAAGGAGGGACAGTCATTAGCAGTATTGAGCACCTGTGCTTTGCCAGGCACTGTGCCACTTGGGATCATGCAGCCTTCATGAAAATTTGTGATAAGTATTATCATCATCCTTTCCTTCCTTCCTTCCCTGGCACCTTCCTTCTTTCCTCCTTTCCTCCTTCCCTGAGTCAATCAAAAAGCCATCTGACAACCTCCCTTTCCCTCCCCTTCAAGAGAAAAGCGGCTTTTACAGCAGAGGCAGAGGAAGAGGCTGGAAAGCCAAAGAAGCAACTAGCATGCTAGGGAGATGAGTCACATACAGGGGAACTGAGGGCGGAAAAAAGAAAAGGATAGGCTGCTCCTTTAACCTGGATCCCAGGGCCAACCACAGGAGCAACGGCAAGAAACATGAGTAGAAATTAACCTTTGTTGGGGCAAGCCACTGAGATTACATGGTCATCTGTGTGAAAGGAAGATAAATCTCGAGGCCTCAAAATCACAAAGCTAAAGGGAAAAGTCAAGCTGGGAACTGCTTAGGGCAAACCTGTCTCCCATTCTATTCAACGTCACCCCTCTGATCACTGAGATAAATGTATATCTGATTGCTCTTGCGGAAAGGGAAATCAGAAACTTGAAAGAATGCGACCATTTGTCTATTTACCTATGACCTGGAAGCCCCCTCCCCACTTCGAGATGTCCCACCTTTCCAGAACAAACCAATGTTCATCTTACATATGTTGATTGATGTCTCATGTCTCCCTAAAACATACAAAACCAGCTGTACTCAGACCACCATGGGCACGTGTTGTCAGGACCTCCTGAGGCTGTGTCATGGGTGTGTATCCTTAACTTTGACAAAATTAACTGTCTAATTTGAGACCTGTCTTAGATTTTAGGGGTTCACACTGGTTACCCACAGCAAGCTGGGTCTAAACTGACTAATAAAGTAACTGGTAAATAATTTCTGTGCTTTGAGTGTGAATACAGCCTGTCTATCTCATATCAAAGCTCATGCTCTTTCCACTTGATATATAGAATTATTTATTGATTTAAAAACCATTTTATTGATGGTCTTTTTAGAATTCAGCTGTTCCGAGCTTGTCCACTTCTCAGCACTTAGGGAGACTTTCACCTTGTCATCCTTTTTAGTCCTCTTACTCCTATTTGCAGCAGAATGATTATTCCACCAATACTGTGGATAAGGTGGCCTAGTCTGAAAAATATTTCAACTACAAATACTTAAAAATGCAGGATAAAATATGGCTGAGCTAGCAAGAAAGTAAGAGAGATAGCCCAAGAAATTTAAATTGCTCTGAAATACTAAAGGACTGAAAATGGAATGAGACCAGGAACCCAAAGAAAGGTTAAATAAAATAAAATAAAGGTTAAATCAAATAAAGCTAATGACTGTTTGAAGGGCAGGGCAGATCTAGACTGCTGGGGATTAAAGATACACAGACACACGTGTGCACACACACAAGCATACATATATACACACATATAACATACACAGGTGTACATATACCTATTTATTTTGAAAGTTTAAGACTTAAAGTTGCAAAAATAATACAGAGTTCCTGTGTTACCCTTCACCTAGTTTCTGCAATGATAATGTCTTACATATTCATAGTACTTTGGTAAAACCAGGAAACTTGATACTGGTACAATACCGTTAATACAGGTATAGATCTTATTTGTGTTTTACTAGTTTTGAATGTACCATTTTGTGTTTTCGGTGTATAGCTCTATGAATTTTATCACAGGTATAGATATGAGAAATTGTCAACACAAAGAAACTCTGTTGTGGTACCTCTTAAGAGTCATGCCCTTGTCCCAACCATAACACTTGGCAATCATGGATGCGTTCTTCATTGCTATAATTTTTTGGGGGGGCTTTGAGAATGGTATCTAGATGGAATCATAAAGTATATAACCCTTTAAGATTGGCTTTTTAAAACTCACCACAATGCCCTTGAGATTCATTCAAGTTGTATGTATCAATATCTCTTTACTTTTTATGGCTGAGTAGTGTTCCATGGCATGGATGTACCCAAGTCTGCTTTCTATCCACTCACTAAGGACTGTTTGGCTTGTTTACAGTTTTTGACTATTAAAACTAAAGCCACCATGACATTCATGTACAGAATTTTCTTTGAACATAAGTTTTGGTATTTCTAGGATAAATACTCAGTAGTGTGATTACTGGGTGATACAATAAGCATATGTGCAAATTTATAAGAAACTGTCAAACTGTTTTCTAGAGTGGTTATGCCATTTTATAGTCCTACCAGCAATGTATGAGAGATCCGGTTGCTCTGCCTCCTCACCAGCATTTAGTGCTGTCAGTACTTGATATTTTTGCCATTTTAATAGGTGTGCAGTAGAATCTCATTGTGGTTTTAATATGCATTTCCCTAATGGCTAATGACACTGAACACCTTTTTACATGTTTATTTGCCATCTGTATACCTTCTTCGGTGAAATGACTATTCAAGCCTTTGATCCATTTTCTAACTGGACTGTTTGCTTACTTACTCTGAGTTTAGATGGTTCTTTATATATTCTGGATATGAGTCCTTTGTTGAATACATGATTTGCAAATATTTTCTTCTAGTCAATGGCCTGTCTTTAAGCCTTAGTGTTAATTGCCATGAAGGCACCGTGAATGTCTAGACCTCAGGAAAGGTGCAGAATGGGGTCCTCTGGATATAGCCAAGTCATCTGAAGAGCTTTACCCTCAGAACAGGAGAGCTAGAAAAAATTCTACACAGCCAAAGAAATAAATAGCAAGCTGAAAGACAGATCTGAAGAAATTAGCCAGATGTGGCTCAGAGTAACAAAAAGATGGAATATTTTTAAAATAATAATTTAAGGCCAGGCACGGTGGCTCACTCTTGTAATCCCAGCACTTTGGGAGGCGGAGATGGGTAGATCACAAGGTCAGGAGTTCGAGACCAGCCTGGCCAACATGATGAAACTCCGTCGCTACTGAAAATACAAAACTGAGCCAGGCGTGGCGGCGGGCGTCTGTAATCCCAGCTACTTGGGAGGCTGAGACACGACAATTGCTTGAACCCAGGAGGCAGAGGATGCAGTGAGCCAAGATCAAGTCACTGCACTTGAGCCTGGGCAACAGAGCTAAACTCAATGTCAAAATAATAATAATAATAATTTAAAACCTCAGAAGGCTTAATCTGTATCTAACAGGAATTCCAGGAGGAAAGTCTAGAGCGATGTTGTCCAATACAGTAGTAGCCAATAGCTACATGTCACTACTTAAAATGTAAATTAAGTAAAAGTAAATAAAGTTAAAAATGCAGTTCCTTGGTTGTACTGGCCACATTTCAGATGCTCAATAGCCACATGTGGTTGGTGGCTACCATATTGGACAGTAGAGATATAGGATATTACAGAAAGTCCTATTGGACAGTGCTGATCTAGGCCATAAAACAAGTCTGAACAAATTTCAAAGAACTGGTATCATACAGATGTTTTGTGGAAATAAACTATACATTAGAAAACAAAAACAAAATAACTACTACTGCCTCCTCTCACCTTTTCCCCATTACAATTCCACCTCTTAATGTCTTCAAGTTCTTGATGAGCAGAACGTCCCTACTGCGTTCCACGGCACTAAGTTCCCCAGAACCCGCCAGTGTCTGATGACAGAACATCCTTGACTACCCAGCTCCACACCCCACCCACGAAGTTCTCTAAAACACTGACCATGACATGGGGTAGGTTTCCACTTTCACATTCTGACCACAATTCTCAACTCGATGCAGTCAGAGTCTGCGCAACCTGGGACGTCGAGCCAAGAAATCCTCAAGTGGCCTTATTTGGCAAAACCAACAAAACAACGAAATACAGTTTTCGAGCGATTTACAGCTCGGTACTTCTCACCTACTTGGTCACCGGCCGCGAAGCAGCCCTACGGCGCTGCGGCCCCGCCTCGCTATGACGTCACACGAGGCGCCCCGAAGTGGCGGTCAAGCTTGAGGCGTCATCCGGCTGCGCCTAGTGGGCCGTTGCCTTACAATTGTTGCGAGGAGGCGAGAGGCGGGGACGCTGGGGCCAAGATCATGTCTAACTGGGAGAGGTTTCCTTGGCAGCAGAGGACGCTAGGTTTGGGATGAAAGAAGCTGGGCAGATGCAAAATCTGGAGAGCGCGAGGGCCGGGCGGTCAGTCAGCACCCAGACTGGCAGCATGACAGGTGAGTGTCCGGGACCCTGCTCCCGCCACCCTACCTTTCGCTCTGCCCTGTGCGTCTCCCGTCACTGAACTCCAGATTCCTTGCCTGCCCCTCTTTGGCTCCCCTGCTGCTTCTGGAAGTCTCCTCCCCGCCCTCTGCGTGTCCCCTCCTCGGTCACTCGGACCGCTTGGCTCGGTCGCACTGGCTTTTGAAGTCTCGCTCTTTACCCTCGTTACTGTTCCTCACAGGACCTAGAGCTGGGGTTTCTGGGGTCAAAGAGCCTGAACATATCCAAACCGCGCTTTTGCCTTGATTTCCAAATTAACTGCACGTGACGCTTTCCTGTATTTCGTCTGCTTTACCGTCGAGGGCCACTGAATTTTTTGGGCTATATTCTAATCACTTCCCTTGTAGCAACGCCCCATCACAGTCCAAAGAAAAGCTTGCACCACGACGACGTCAGATGCGAAGACTTTCTTGCTTTGGGTTGTTCCCCCAGCTACGTGTATTCGCTGTATCTTTTTTTCCTACAGGGTGAGGGCTGGAGAAAGAGGGCCCAACTTTTTTTTTTTTTTTTTTTTTTAAAGTACAAGA